TGACTGTGCTAATAATTAGGGCCACTAGGCGGCAGACTTTTGGCTTTAAAACTAAGAAATTCATACTTAAAAATATTAGGTCCTCACTAATTGTATTACATTGTGGATTTTAGAGTGTCCATTGATTAATATAAATCTATTTCGTTCTCAAATACAGCAGTTATAAATATGTGGGTAGCAAAGAGCTCTTTAGGCAGGACAACTCTAAATCTATGCCCTGACCAGCACTTAGCTGCTGACTCTGCCTGGGAGAATTATTATGACTGTTACTTATTAAGTACTGAAAGTGTTAAATTTCTGTTTACCTTGCAATATTCTCAGCATTCACAGTGACAATGCTTATTTCATGGTTAAGGTTTATGTATATTTGCAGCCATATGCGCTTTGAAATAATTTTATTAGAGAGTTTGCAAAGCACATCTCACTCAGCTTCTCTAAGGACTCAGAGGCAGGAATTTGGAAGCTTTTGCAGGAGAACTGAGAGTAGATGCTCAGTGCGTGATGAATAAGGACTGAAAACATTGACCTCTTCCTGTATGCCAGTTATCACACTGACTCCCTGTGGTAAGTTGGTGGTATCACTGTGGCTCTTCCAATTAACTTACGTTTATTGCAAAATTGCCTTTGGTTCAACACTTGAATAATCTATGTAATTTCTACACAGGAAGAAAATTATATGATTCACCCAATAGGTTCAGAAGAGTCTGACAAAATTCAATGTCCCAGGTAAAAATTCAGCACACTGGGAATGGAAGGAAATTTCTTTAGTTTGATGAAAGATGTATCAGCAAAAATCCACAGCAAACATTAGAATTTTTTTGATAATGGAAGGAAATTTTCATAGAAAATCTGCTATTCTTTTTTAATGTTCCCAACACAAGGAAGTGACACATTTCTGAAGCGACAGGTCTGCCAGTTTCCCTGATTTGAGCATGAATATGTACAATTGCGATGCATCAATTAAAATCTAAGAAGAACGTTTCCTCTGAAAAAGACACTTTGATATTTATTGTTTCCCAAGTAATAATTATTTGTTAAAATTGTGATAAATATACTTTTTAATAGCTTATTTTTTTGGATTTTGGAGACAGGGCCTCACTCTGTAATTCAGGTGAGCCTTGAATTCACCACGTGGTCCAGGCTGGCCTCCAACTCACAGTGATCCTCCTGCCTCAGCCTCCCAAGTGCTGGGATTATAGGCCTGCGCCACCACGCCCGGCCTGATAAATACACTTAACGTAGTTTTTACCATTTTAGTCATTTCTAAATGGACAGCTCAGGGGCATTGAGTTGATTCACTGTTGTGCATCATCACCGTCCTTCTCCAAAACGTTCATCTGCATAAAGTGAAACTCAGTACCCACTAATGCCTCTCCCCCTGCCCCTAGTCCCTCATAACCATCATTGTACTTTCTACCTCTAGAATTTTTCTACTGAGTGTCTCCCAAATGTGGAATCCACAATACTTAGCCCTTTGTGACTAGCTTATTTTACCTCCCACAATGTCCTCAAAGTTCATCTGTGTTCCAGCAATGTATACGAATTTAGTTCCTTTTTCAGGAGCAATAATAATCCTTTGCATGTGTGTGTTTGTTCATCCATTCACCCAGCAATGGAAACTTGGGTTGCTTGTGCCTTTTGCCCTTTATAAATAATGCTGTTAGGATCATAGGTCTTCAACTACCTCTTCAAGTCCCTGCCCTCAGTAGTTTTGGGTGCATACTTGGAAGAGGAGCTGCTAGATCCTATGCCAATACTGTTTTCCATACAGCTGTATTTTACATTCCTGCCAACAGTGCAGAGGGTTCCAGTTCCTCCACTCTTCATTAAGACTTGTCGTTTTCTGATTTAGTTGTTGGTGATTTCCATGTTTATTTATTTATGAGTTTCTCATAGTGGTTTTGGTATGGATTTACCTAATGATTAGTACACAACATGGAGCATCTTCATGTGTGCTTGTTGTACACTTTGTGTGCCAGTTACACACTGTCTTTTGAGAAATGTCTATTCAAATCCTTTGCCCATTTTTATTTTTTATGTGCATAAATATCTTTATCTCTCATTTGTACTATAGACAAGAATTTGGTTGGATGGTTTGGATGTAGTAACAGAAACAAAACTCTAGCTTTTGGAAAAAGAATTTCTTGCAAAATTACAAAGGTACCTCAAAGCCAAGAATGACAGTTAAAATTGAGGCCTCAGGGATGGTAGCCAATGACAGAAATCAAATCTTGTAAGCTTTAGAGGGACTAAAAAAGTTTACAATTAGGATACAAGGGTACCCGAGCAAGCCAAGCGCAGGGAGTGGAGCCACAGTTCATGGAGTCCAGAGCTAGGGAATGCAGCACTGTTAGTTCTCCTAATCTCTCAGCTCCGCTTTTCAATTTGCAAGTGCTTCTTTGCTCTCACTGCAGATGTGCGGCTTTTTCTTCCCACACTGCATGGTGGGCCACGGCAACTCCCACCCCCCAGCCTGTCTACCGTTCTTCCATCCCAGAGGCCGGTCAGATCAAAGCTAGACCCTGATCTCCACCCCATTCCTGGAAGTTTTAGGGTCTTGCCAATAACAACTGTAACTCCTTCTCTAGGATACAGACTAAGGCACAAAGGTTGCAGAACACTAAGAGCCAGAGACCCATTAAGTTTTAGTTTTTACCGCTCCTTACAGCAGCAAAGGCCAGGTGCTTTGAAAGAGAAAGGTGTTTCTTTCAGCTCTTTTATTTTCTGGGTCAGAAATGAGAGACCTGGATAATGCTATTTATTACCTTATTTGAGATAATTTTTTTCATTTATCGTAATAGATACAATTTATCTCTTGGGAAAATATGAGCAGATCATGTCATTTAAGCATAAAATATAATATTATAATCTTTTTTCCTAAGAGAAAGCAAAAAAAAAGGATTAATTCAATGGAGAGGAAAAAATATTTACATTGGAGGTGTCAGAAATCCTTCAAAACCATAAAATGTTGACCAAAGGCCTCTCATACTAGAAACCCTGGACGGGGCTCACCTGGCTTGAGTCGGGTGATTAGGAGCCATTTTTCCACAGCAGGGGCAGGATCGGGGCATTCAGAAACAGATAAAAGAGGAAATGAAATTATTCTCTGGGTTCCTCACAGTGTTGCAGCCTCTCTTGTAACTGCAAATCTATCTTGCTCACGAAAAGCTTGACCTAGCCGGGGATTTAGCCCAGTGGTTCTGCCGCCTGACCCGCAAGCACAAGGACCCGAATTCGATCCCTGGTACCAAAAAAAAAAAAAAAATGGTTCGGGGACTTAACTCAGAACTTCTAAGAAGTACCTTGGAAGACAAATTA